AAAAACACCCATCTCCCAGTCTTGCCCTGGAAGGGGTTTGATGCGTACTTTACAAGCTACTGTCTGAGGTTCTGACTTTTCATTAGCATTGCATCTAGTTGCTGGCTACAGTCTCCCGAAAGAGCTAGGGGGCATTTCCCCTGCTTTCTTCCTCCAGCTTCCTCCAACTGCCTCCAACAAGAAAACCAATAATAAATAATACAGAGAGATCTCATGTACCAGTTTCCCTGATGGCAATATCTTGCAAAGCTGTAGCGCAGTGACATGACCAGGATACTGATATTGATAAAGTCAAGATATGGAAATTTCCGTCACCACAAAGATGCCTCCTCTTGCCCTTTTATAGCCGCTTGCCTGTCTTACCCCATGCTCAGGCTCTAGCAACCACAAATTGTTTCTCCTTTCTGCAATCTGAATATAAATGGAACCATATCATGTGTAATCTTTTAAAATTTTTTATTTGAGTTGACACCCAGTGTTACATCAGTTTCAAGTGTACAACATAGTGATTCCTTAAGTTCATACATTATGCTGTGCTCACTGCAAGTGTAGCTACCATCTGTTCCCATACATCACTATTACGGTATCATTGACTATATTCATTATGCTTTCTTGACTTATTTATTCCATAACTGGAAGCCTAGATCTCCTACTCCCCTTCACCCATTTTACCCAACCCCCACTTTTCTCCCCTCTGGCAACTATCAGTTTGTTCTCTGTATGTATAGGTCTAATTTGGCATTTTATTTGCTTATTCATTTGTGGGTGTTTTTTTTTTTTTTAGATTCCACATATGAGTAAAATCATGTGGTATTTGTCTTTCACGGTCTGACTTATTTCACTAAGCATAATACTCCTTATGCTCATCCATGTCTCAAATGGCACAGTCTTATCCTTTTATACGTCTGTGTAGCATTCCATCGTATAAATATACCACATCTTCCTTATCCATTTGTCTGTTGATGGACACTTAGGTTATGTAACCTTTTGTTACTGGCATTTTTCACTCAGCGTAATTCCTTAAGATTCATCCAGGTTGTTGCATGTTTCAAAGTTCATTCCTTTTTATTGCTGAGTCCCTGGTATGGGTATATAGCCCAGTTTGTTTAACCATTTACCTGTGGAAGGATTTCTAGGTTGTTTCCTGCTTTTAATTATTACGAATAAAGCCACTATGAACATTCATGGCCAGGTTTCATTTCCCTGTGATAAATACCAGGAGTGCAACTGCTAGTATAGTAGTTGCATGTTAAGTTTTTATTTTATTTTATTTTTATTTTTTTTTAAAGATTTATTTATTTACTTCAGAGAGAGAGAGAGCAAGGGGAGGGGCAGAGAGAGAAAACACTCAAGCAGGCTCTACACCCAACACAGTTTGACACGGGGCCTGATCCCAGGACTCTGAGGTCATGACCTAAGCCAAAAACAAGAGTCAGACACTCAAACAACTGAGCCACCCAGGCACCCCACATGTTAAGGTTTTTAAGAAATTGCCAAATTGTTTTCCAGATTAACTATATATGTTAGATCTCCACCAACAAAGTACAAGTGTAGTTTCTTTGCATTTTTGTCAGCATTTGGTGTCATTATTTATTTTAGTCGTTTTGATAGGCATATGTAATAATATCTCCCAGTGATCTTAATTTGCATTTCCCTGATGGCTAATTATGTTGAACATATTTTATGTGCTTGTAGCCATCTGTAGATCCTCTTTGGTGAAATGTCTCTTCATGTCTTTTGCCCATTTTCTAATGCGTTTGTATTTTATACTACCAAGTTCAGAGGCTTCTTTATATATTCTAGCACTAGTTTTTTGTCATATATATGGCTTGAAGTATTTTCTCCCCATCTGTAACTTGTCTTTTCATCCTATTAACAAGATCTTTTACAAAAGTGTTGAATTTTGTTGAAGTCCAATTTATTAGTTTTTGTTTTCTAGATTGTGCTTTTAGTGTCAAGTTTAAGAATTATATGCCTAAATCTAGATCCTGAGGATTTTCCTCTATTTTTTTCTAGAAGTTTTATAGTTTTATGTTTTACATTTAAGTCTGTGATCCATTTCAAGCCAGTTGTTGATAAAGTGAATCCTTTAAGAATATTTCTCTCTATATTAATTATTTATTATATAATAAATATTTATTATATATTTATATATATTAATATTCTTAATCAGTACTTAGTCCATATTTTATATGGCTAGTAGCTTTAAGATTGAATAATTAATTGAATAATCTTAGTGTTTTCATTTGGGGTTCTACTTCTTTTGGTATTAAAAAAGTGCCACATTAATAGGTACATGAGACTCAGTGGTCTAGATTTGTGATAAAGGGTTTATGGATGACTACGCCTCTAAAGTAATAAATCAGTCAATAAATACTGAATGCCTACTATATATCGGGCCCTGCTATGGCCATTGAAATATGGCTTATCCTTGGGAGCTATCAGTGTGATGAGGGAGTTAGAGACAAAATTCATTTCGGTATACTGTGTTCAGTGTTGGAATCAGTTTAGTATGATGGCTAAGAACCCAGACTCTGGATTCCATCAGTTTTGGATGGAGTCCTGGCTCTCCCACATCCCACCTGCATAAGGTAACCTCACTAGTCCTTAATTTCCTTACTTATAGAATGTACATTATAAGGTTGTTAAGAGGATTGGAAAATACATGTAAAGTTCTTACTATAAGTGCCAGGCACAGAGTAAGCACTTAATGTTAGCTGCTATGACTGTGGTGGAGATGAAGGTAGGGGTAGAAAGGGAAGAGGAGGTACTGATCTATGTAGGCAAAGATGTTGTCACACAGAGAGGGGCAGTTATCCTAGAGGTGAATACTTCTTAACTAAATCTGCAGGATTGAAAGAGGACTTCAGTGACCTCCATTTTGACCTGTCTGCACCTTCAAATTAAGTTCTTTTTTCCAGCTTATCTCTTAACTCAGGCAAAAGACCCCTGCAGGCAACTGAAACTACCCCTCAAGCAAAAAAGTCTGCCCTGACGTCAGCAAGACCACACATGATTGACCCCAAGACAATGATCTTTACTGCTTACCTACATATACCCACCAAACTTTGTCCCACATTTTCCTTATATAAACCCAGAAGTATTTTCAGCACTTTGGAGATAGTCTTTCAGACACTAGTCTGCTGTCTTCCCGGTGTTGGCCTCACTGAAATACATTCCTTTCTTGTTTCACCACCACTCATCTCTCTGCCTTTAGATTTTGTCAGCGGTGAGTGGCTGAACCTGGTCTGTTTGGGAATCCTGGAGCCAGGTGCTCTTGGCACCCCTGAGCCCAGGTTACAGAGTGACTAAGATTTAGCTACAAAAAGAAAGGAAGGAAAAGCATCCAGGACAAAGAGAAGAACAGGAACAAAGGTATAGAAAGATTGTGTATATGTTTATGTAGTTCAGCCATTTGTTATTAATAGAACTTGAAGTAGGAATTGGAAAGTGAGATGTGGCTGGAGAGGTAGGCAAGGACCAGGTCATGGAGGGCGTTGGACTCCTTTCTAAGCAAAAGGAAGGCACTGAAGAGCTTAAGAGACTGGCATAGTCAGATTTGCATTTCCACTCAGCTCACTCCACAGAGTGAAGACTGCTTTGAAGTAGAGGATGTAACTGTGAAAGGTACTCTTTAACAGTTCAGCTGAGAGACAAAGGCCAGAATCAGGGCCATAGTAACTGACAATGGAATGTCTTCTTGTCCTTTTTTTCATATAAAAAAAACTCCTGTTCAGGGTGCCTGGCTGGTTTAGTCAGAAGCACGTGCAACTCTTGATCTCAGGGTTGTGAGTTCAAGCCCCACATTGGGTGTGGAGATTACTTAAAAATAAAATGTTAAAAAACAAAAACTCAGGGTGCCTGGGGGACTCAGTCAGTTAAGCGGCTGCCTTCGGCTCAGGTCATGATCCCAGAGTCCTGGGATCGAGCCCCGCCCAGGGAGCCCCGCACAGGGAGCCCGCTTCTCCCTCTCCTCCCTGCTCGCGTGCTCTCTTTCACTGTCTCTCTCTCTCTCCCAAATAAATAAACAAAATCTTTAAAAAGACAAAACAAAACAAAAAACTTCTGTTTGCAATTCAGAGCTTCAGTTGGAGAAGGAGGTGAGCCTCAGGTTGTAGGGTGTGTGAGAGTGGAAGTCTTGTAAATGAGGGCTCTAAAAAGTCTTATCCAAGACTGGCTATAGTTCCTCTGCCTCAGGCTACTAAGATCAGTGGTCCTCTGTACTTCTCTAGGTTAGATATGATTTCTTACGATCACCTAAAATATGTATCCACCTAATAGAAAACTCACATTCTTTTTTTTTTTAATGCACCAACTTGGAGTGGGAATTGATAAAGTGGAAGGAAAAAATTACTAAAAAGTACATTTAAGAAAAAGGAATTTGATTCCAACCTGTATTTGCTAAAATCTTTATTTTCTTCATCTATTTTCCCTCCTTTAAGATGGTTTAAAAATGTTAATCATAATTTTATTCTTATATAAAACTAAAAGGTAAAAAAGCACAAGGAATTCAATTGTATCATATTCACTACTATTTTAAATTCTTCTGTGCCATTTCAACTGTGAGAAATAGACTTCTAATTGTTCAAATTAACCACAGTGCAAATCCTGTGAAAAGAGCTGCATCATTTTGTAGACTCTGTTTGAATGTTTGAAAGCACAGCTGACTAAAGATATATGACAAGAATAAATTTAAAAAATAAATTAAATAAATAGGTCCTGGGGATGTACTGTATAGCACATGGCATATAGATAATGATATTGTATTAACTTTTTATGGTAAGAGATGGTAACTAGATTTATGGTGATCATTTTATACTGTATATAAATGTTGAATCACTAAAAAAAAGAATAAATTAATGTTTTTGGATATTACAAAGAGCAGTGCTATTTCTCTTTGTGTGTGTGTATGTGTAAACAGCTTTTGAAATACAACTTACACTCCATATAATTCACCTATTTCAATTGTGCAATTTAATGGTTGTTTGTTTCTTTAACAGGGAAAAAAAGATGTGACCCAGATATTTAACAACATCCTGAGAAGACAGATAGGTACTCGGAGTCCTACTGTGGAGTACATTAGTGCTCATCCTCATATTCTGTTTATGCTCCTCAAAGGGTAGGTACATGGTTTCCTTTAAAGTAGGTTTGAGTATAGAATAGTTGTTAAAAGTATACAGCATTGGGGTGCCTGGGTGGCTCAGTTGGGTAAATGGTTCCTACGATCACTTTGTTCAGCTTTGCCATTTCAGCTCATAGGAAGGCGAAAATACATGGGAGAAATTATCAGCCATGTCTGGAAAGGGCTTACTTTACTCCCATTCACATTCCATTTGAGAGCACTTAGTCATTCGGCCCCTTACTTCTTAAGGAAATCTGAGAAATGTTGTCTAGGTGTCCAGGAAGAAGAGGACAGTGGATTTCAGTGATTGCTAACATTCTCTGTTACATATTGTTTCTTTTGAAAATTTCTTCCCTTCCATTTTCTGTATTCTCACTTTCTAGATTTCCTGTTAGTCAGAGTTGAATCTCCAGGATTGATTTCTTAGTTCTTCTGTTTTTCATCTCTTATCTTTTTATGTGTTGGAAGATGTTATTTTTACATTTAATTGAAGATAAACCCTATTGAATTTTCATTTCAGCTACTCTATTTTTAATTTATAAGAGCTCATTTTTGTTCTCTGATTATTCCTTTTTCTTGTCTCTTGGCACTTCCTGGTTCTGTGACCTTAGGCAAGACACTGCACCTTTCCAAACCTGTTTTCTTATCTGTAAAATAAAAGTAAAATTTATAATATTACCTTCACACTAAAATAATATTGTATTATATGCCATTGACTCTGCACCATCAGAAAGATTTGTGTTTTCATCCAGGGTTCTGCCACTTACTATAAGATCTTGGGCAAGTTACCTAACTTCCTTATATGTCTTGGTTTCCTCATTGCAATAAGGAGTCAATAATAATACCTACATCAGTAGGTTGTTAGGAGTCTTCAATGAGATAATGCTTTATAAAGCACAGCATCTAGCACACAGTATTCATTAACTACTAGTCTAAGAAATTATTATCTGTATTCCTTTTAAGAGCTGCAACTTCCATAGAAACATATGAGCAATTTTAAACAAATACAATGAAGGTCATATATAAGTGCCAGAATAACATTATAAAGTAAAGTGCTCATTTGCAGCTCATGTGGATCTGCAAGTCTTAATGGACCCACAAGGATATGATTTGCACAGCTGGTCATTGGTGAATAAGGCCAAGGTGATCAATTTATATCCACTTCTGGAGATTCTAAAATGTTAAGCTCTAAAACATTTGACATTATCCTCAAGGAAATGGGGAGCCACTGAAGAGTTTTGGAGAGAGGAAAAATATCAGATTTATGTTTCAGGAAATGAGGATAAATTAATAGTAGTTTTTAAAAATGAGCTTGTAAATAAACGATCCCTTGAGAATGCTGAAATGTATTGTCCTGGAGATTGTGTTGACTGATGGAGAAGAGCAGTGGTGTGGATGATCTAAAACAGTATCTTCCACAGGGTGCCTGGGTGTCTCAGTTGGTTAAGTGCCTTGACTCTTGATTTCAGCTCAGGTCATGATGTCTGGGCCATGAATTCAAGCCCTGCATCGGGCTCTGCACTGAATGGGGCCTGCTTGAGATTCTCTCTCTCACTCTCTTTCTGCCCCTCCCTCTCGCTCAGGCTCTCTCTAAAAGTAAATAAGTTAATTGATTAATTAAATAAAATTAACTTCATTCCTTTTTGATGTGGTAAAATGTATATACATTTGATACATTTACATATTATAGATGCTTTATGGAAGATATAAAAAAATTTAGCATAATTAGATATTTATTTAGAAAATTAAGTTGGTAGGGCACCTGGGTGGCTCAGTCGGTTAAGTGTCTGCCTTCGGCTTAGGTCGTGATCCCAGGGTCCTGGGATCAAGTTCTGCCTCGGGCTCCCAGCTCATCGGGGAGCCTGCTTCTTCCTCTGCCCCTCTCCCCTGCTTTTAATTAATAAAAGGCCACTTTGTTAATATACAGATTTTTATTCTAAGACTCCATTTTCTTTTTTTTTTTTTTTTTTTTTAAAGATTTTATTTATTTATTTGAGAGAGCGAGAATGAGAGAGAGTACATGAGAGGGGGGAGGGTCAGAG